GAAAAATAGTGACCACAAGCACATGGCACCCGTTCATTTCAATGGGCATTGAGCCCCCCCCCCCCCCCGAATTAGGGCACCCAATGGTAATTGTATTGCACCAATTACTTAATGTAACAGGTGCCTATTTTATAGTCCAATCAGATCCTCCCTCAATTGCCCAATAGGGGAGAAATACACTTCCAATCCTTCATTTGCATATTGGATGGTAAGTTACCGCCAAATTGTTGCAATCGACGCTAGAGTCAGACTTGATGTCACGGTAACTATCAAAAACTTTAAAGACGTTTAAAAAAGAATCATTTAAAGCGCTACTCAATATATTTCAACAGCAGATAGGCATAGAAAACGAAAGGGGTGACCATGCCACCTCCAACTCACCCATACCTTACAACCAATGCAGCTGAAACCCTCATCCACGCCTTCGTCACTTCCCAGCTGGACTACGCTCTCCTCGCTGGTCTCCCCAGCTCCATCATACACAAAATTCAACTAAATTCCGAATTGTTAGCGAGGACACCAGGAGAAATTCCATCACACTAGTCCTTGCCAGGCTCCACTGGCTCCCAATTACCGAACGGATCAATTTCAAGATCCTCTCATTGGTTTTCAAATACCTTCATACCCTCGCACCTCCCTACCTATCTGATCTGCTTAAACCCCCACATGTTTACATTTGGATCTCGTGGTTTTTCTTCACTTTGAAGGAAGTAGCATATTTTTAAGTAATTGCTAATTAACATTACAGTCAACATTTATAATCAGCTACTCATTGGTATTGACTAAAGGTTACATAAGTTTGAAGTGTGTGATTTGGCCATTTAAGGCATTAACCTTTTCCCTTATAATTTCCAGGCGCAAATCTAAGTTAAAACAACAACAACAAAATGACATTTGTATAGTGCCTTTCACATTGAGAGGACGTCCCAAGGCACTGGATAGACAGAGTTTTGGACCCGAGCTGGGGATCAGGGTCGGGGAGGATGGAGGGCAGAGGGGGAAGCAGGGAGATCGAAAGCATGATTGAGAAGGCGGGTCTTGAAGGTGGCAAGGGAGGGGGGAGGCGGAGGGACGGCGGGATGGAGTTCCAGAGGGTGGAGGGGGAGTGGCAGAAGGCAAGCCCGCCAATAGTGGGGCGAGCCAGGATGGTAGGGGGTTAGGACATGAAGCAGGCCGGAACCTGCTGAGTGGAGGGAGTGAGCAGGATGATAGGGGGTTAGGAGGTCGCAGAGATAGGGGAGAGCAAAACCATGGAGGACTTTGAAGGTGAGGACCAGGATCTTGACCTATATCCTCTGTGTGATGGGAAGCCAGTAGAGTCAGGAAAGGATGGGGGTGATAGGTCGCAGAGCCTAATGGGGGAGAGGACGCGGGTTGCAGGTTTCCGGATGATCTGCAGCCTGTGGAGGGAGGAGTTGAGGAGGCCGACAAGAAATGAGTTTGCATAGTCAAGCCTTGATGTAAAGAAAGCATGTATGAGAGTTTCAGCGGTCTGCAGTATGAGACAGTGGCGGAGCCAGGCGATGTTATGGAGGTGGGGGACCAAGGTTCTGGACTGGCTTAGCAAGCTGGAGTGTGCACCCTTCAAACAAGTGTTTGATCTGTGATGCGTTACATTTACGACAAATGATAGCCTAAAGCATCATATTTCACCCCATAGTGAAGTACGTTCTTTCATGTGTCTGACCGACCGATCTTTGATAGATACAGGAGCTAAGGTAACCTTAATTTCAAATAAACTGGTACAGAGCGAGCCTACTACCAAAGAATTAACCAAAATACAGGGAATTAATCAAAACCCAATTATAGCACATACCCATAACATAATGTATAATGTAGAGATAGGATGAGAAGAGGAAGAACGACTCCCAAAACCATCCCTTAACTGGGATAAGGTGCTAAATGTGATATACTGTGATGGATCTTGTCAGAAAGTGAATAAGGTCAAATCAGAGCGGCAGGGATGTGATAGCTATTGTAATATGATTGTTAGCGGGTCTTTTGAAGAACAATCTGCCCACTCGATGCATCTACATTGTCAGTCCTCTCAGAAAGCAGAAGTGCTCGCCCTAAAAGAGGCCTTAGAGCATGTTGTTAAATGTGAGGTTAAATTGTTACTTACTCACTGTATGTCTCGTTAGCATATGAGGAGTCTCCAGATCTATGGAGCCAAAATGGCTGGACGGATCACAAGAAAAAGCCCCTGGTTCTTGGGGAAATATGGAAAGAAATTTGGCAAATGAAGCACATACCCCAAATTGAGCATAATACATACTATGGGGCATCAAACTATGAGTATCCACCTCACTATTGGCAACGAAAGACGTTGTTTGACAAGGATGGGCGGTTGGTTTTGGAGTCCCCAAATGTTGGGGAAAAGATAATCCCTCCTGAAGGTGAGAGATTATTTAAACAACATGGCACACAAATGGGACATTTACTACGAATGGTAGCCTAAAGCGTCATATGTCAACCCATAGTGAAGTACGTCCGTATTGCCAAAAGACTTCTATGTTCTGTAAAATGCATATGAGAACACATAGATACGAACTTGCTCAGCAGATTCAGCAACAGCAGCAGGTCTCTCCTGATGATGATACCTTGGTAAACTCTATGGAACAGCAGTCTGCATCTGCTTAACAATCAAGACAAACCCAACTTCAGGCAGATGAACGGCCAGCAGCCAATGACAATCAGTGCTGACCGGCAATCCATGCTGGGACTGAGTCAGGAAGAAGCAGTGGCTTCCCCGCAGGGTGGTCTCGCCCAGTAGCTAACAGACCAGCAGCTTGTACAAGATGAAGTCAAAGTGTGTCCGAGAGTGTCCAATGTCTCAGAAGAATACGAGTGATCTTTTGGTAGTCAGGATGAAAAAGATTTTAACAATTGAACTCTGACATCTTAATAATAATAATAATAATCCTTGCATTTGATATAGCGCTTTTCACATTGGGAGGACGTCCCAAAGCGCTTCACAGAACACACTGTAAAGTGAATTGACTGTATATTTGTGGGCGAACGCGGCAGCCAATTGCGCACAGCAATGTCCCACATACAGTCATGGATTGAAAATGACCAATTTTATTATTATTTTTGGTTTTGGAGGGATTATTATTAGGCTCTGTGTGGAGTAAGGAAACTTGCCCAAGGTTTCGCCCTCTCCCTGGAAATGAACTCAGGTCTCTCGCTTGCAAAGCGAGTGCTCTAACCACTGAGCTACAGGACTCCACGTCTTGGATGTGATTATTGCAATTCGCAGTTGTGGTCCCGAAGGTTGCAAAAAATGACAATAATATTAATCTGGACTATGATAATGGCACTGCTATATGGAAATGTCCAGCTGATTTGCTATTCTTTTGTGTTTTCTGTTCATTGTCACATGTATTGGGACGTTTGATGTATATCGCCCGGTGGCTAAATTGTACCTTGATTCAGTTTTGGCTGCTTTTGTTTCTGGCATGTATGCCGCACGTGAGAGGAAGGGACGTGATCGACTTGATGGCTGGCTCGCCATGCTTCCAACCCACCAAGAGGGGGAAATGTGGCGGTGGTGAGCTCATGACCAGCGGAGGCCTGCCCCTTTAAGTAGGTTGTGTAAGAGTTAGCCAGCAGTGTGGATGCGATTGCAACAATATAGGCATCAGGGGCTAACAATTTTTTTTACTAATGCAGTGCTGCTCTGAGAGTTTTTCTGATAGATATGTTGGATTGCTGTGTTTGCTACCCTTGCACATCTTGAATTTTTGTGTGCTTTATATGCAAGATGGTCTCTGGTGTTGTTAAGTTATAATAAAGAGTAGCAGCTTGGCAGGGCTGAGTGCCAGCAGCATTTCATGTGTTACGACTCAAGACTTAAGGCTTTGGGGTGTCCTTAAAAATATATACTTGTGTATTTAAATTAGTTAATATAATCGGGATACTCGTGGAGTCCTGTCGCTCAGTGGTGAGAGCACACGCTTTGCAAGCGAGACACCTGGGTTCAATTCCAGGCAGGGCGAAACCTTGGGCAAGTTTCCTTACTCCACACAGAGCCTAATAATAATCCCTCCAAAAAAACGAAAACAATAATAAATTGGTCATTTTCAATGTACGACTGTTTGTGGGACATTGCTGTGCGCAATTGGCTGCCGCGTTCGCCCACAAATATACAGTCAATTCACTTTACAGTGTGTTCTGTGAAGCGCTTTGGGACGTCCTCCCGACGTGAAAAGCGCTATATCAAATGCGAGGATTATTATTATTGTTATTATTACTGGTTTTGTCCTCCCGACTCTAATCGTCCAAGCACTGGGTATCAAATACCGAGTTCCGTGACAGTCAACCACAACAACAACAACAACAACAACACGATTGCATTTACAGAGCGCCTTTCACGTCGGGGCGGACGTCCCCCAGTCATCACCATCAAAACATGTCAGAGCGCTTCATGATAAATAATTGCTGGTTTTGGAGGCGAACACAGCATTTTTTTTGACACACAAAGCAAAGTCTCATGAACAGCCTCAAGATGAATGGCGAATCACTTGGGAGGGGTGTGGGGGGTTGTTGTTGGCTCAGACACCGGGAGAGACCTCTCTCTACCTGTGGAATAGTGCAATGCAAACAGGACACGGGATTTGACAGCAGAACCTGTCCCCAAAAGTGACCCCGAGGGGTCGGTCAGTCGGGCAATGAGTTGCAGTCCCAACGTTGGAGCTTTGAACCCGACCCTTTTCATTTTATTTCAATGCAATGCAGTGCAACGAGAGCCGCACCACAGACCGAACAGTTTGCAAGTGACCCCCTCCTCACCGTTCGGCGGCGGCTCTGAACTCTGCCCCCACCGTCCGGACTTTAAAGGGGAAAAAAAAAAGACACGCGGTTTTGCGACTAAAACCCCGACAGAAAGGTACGTTTGCACGTGTGCAGCAATGGGGGAAACGAACGCAACGTTTTAAGTGGGAGGTCAACCGGAGTGACACCGGGAACCCTCCGGCGATGTGAGGATCGGGAAAGTGTACCTTTACACAAATATACCGTATCTCCATCAGCCGCCACTTCACCTCTGAAGCCGCCAAACCTCCGAGAGAGAGAGAGAGAGAGAGCGCCTCAACAGTCGGTCACTCACTGCGCTTCACACGTACAGTGGAGGTCTCCGATCGGTCGGTGACGGTTCAGTGCAACTGTGCAAAAGGCGATGTAAGAAACCCACCGTCCGCGACAGGTGGTTCCTCAGCGCGATCCCGGGGGCGGGGCCGGGGGGGCGGGGCCCGGGGGGCGGGGGCGGGGCTCGGGGGGGGGCGGGGGGGGGCGGGGCTAGGGGGGCGGGGCTCGGTGGGGGGGGCTCGGTGGGCGGGGCTCGGGGGCGGGGCCCGGGGGCGGGGCCCGGGGGCGGGGCCCGGGGGGGGCGGAGGGCGGGGCCCGGGGGGGGGCGCCGCTCCACTGTCCTCGGGCTGAGCCGGAGTGCTCTCGGGCGCGCGCGCTCTCGGGCCTGGAGTTATCTCGGGCGCGCGCTCTCGGGGCTGGAGCGCTCTCGGGCGCGCGCTCTCTCGGGGGCTGGCGCGCTCTCGGGCGCGCGCTCTCGGGAGCTGGAGCGCTCTCGGGCGCGCGCTCTCGGGGGCTGGAGCGCTCTCGGGCGCGCGCTCTCGGGGGCTGGGGCGCTCTCGGGCGCGCGCTCTCGGGGGCTGGGGCGCTCTCGGGCGCGCGCTCTCGGGGGCTGGGGCGCTCTCGGGCGCGCGCTCTGGCCTCTGTGCCGGTTTCCTGTCTGACCTCTCGAGCTGTTCGGTGGTCGCCTTCGGAGCTCCGGCCCCGGGGCCGCCGCTGTGGACGGGGCACAGGTGGCGAGTCGGACACGTGGACGCGGTGCTGTGCTCCCGCCCTCCCGCCGGGGCCGCGCGCTGAGGTGCGAGTGGACGCGGTGCCGCCGGACACCGGGAGCTCTCAGTCGGTTATTCCGAAGCGGCTCTCGCGGCTCTCGCTGAAGGCAGAGCTACAGTCCGCGCAGAGCCGCCGAGCGGCGCGGCCTCTCCCCCTCTGTCTCTGTCTCAGTCTCCGGGGCCACTCGGCTTCACAAACTTCACAGCTCCTCCTTACGGTCGCAGTTGAGTCGTGAGACCCCGACAGTGCAGTGCAGTGCAGTCAGAGGGGACCAGTGCGGAGGTGTGTGGAGCTGAGGCTTCTGTGTGCAGGTTCGGGGTGAGATGTCGCTCCCTCCTCCCTCTTGTCCTCCTCCCTCTTGTCCTCCTCCCTTCCTCCCTTCTGCCCTCCTCCCTCTTGTCCTCCTCCCTCCTCCCTTCCTCCCTCCTGTCCTCCTGCCCTCCTTCCTCTTGTCCTCCTCCCCTCCTCCCGGCAAAGCCGCTGCTTACGTTGTACTTCTGACGTGTCGGGATTCCTCGAAAAAGGAGCGCCGTCTCTCTCCCACCAATAAAGGCACACGGACACCATTAACCCACCGACTGCAAACCTTTACACAGCCCCAGTTCTGTTTTTTTTTCTCTGGAAAATATATTCTATTTTGCAAACGTGACACAAATCTGCGGCACGTTTTGCAGTCCCACGATGTTGCTTTTACGCCACTTTGCAAAGCGTCCCCTCAGAGGGGCTCTGCTGTACTTTATGCAGTTACAGCGCCACTTGTCCCAGCGCTGCTGCTATTCTTTATTCACGGGATGTCTCAAACCCCATTAACCATTGCACTTTTTTTCAGGGCGACCCCCCCCCCCTCCACCCCCTCCGCTGTCCTTCATGAGCGAGACACCGGTTCTGCATAACATGTACAAGCTGCTTCAGACGCGTTTTGGAGGTCACTTCTATTCCTCTCTTTCCCATTCACCGGCCCCCACCCCCACAACTCTTTCTTTATTTCTCTCCCCCCCCCCCCCCCCCCCCCACACACACACACACCAGTTTAACTCCCTCCTCTCACTTCCTAATGCTGTTGTTGCATGTTGTTCAATGATACATGTGACGAAACTTTGCAACGTCTGCTCCAGCAGCAGGTTTCCTTCGCCATATTTTTCACACAAGACTCAATTTTTGCCCAAGTAACTCCACTCTTCTGGGAAGCAGTCAGACATTGTGAATGAAAGCTGCAGGTCATGCCTTGCAATTATGGCAAATTCCGTGAAAAGGCACTTCAACAACAACTTGCATTTATGTAGCGCCCCTCATGGTAGCGCCCCAGAGCGCTTTTAAGTATCACATTCATGCCTCTGGTGCCAATAATTATGCAATCATTTGTAGCTTATTTTCCGTAAGAATCCAAGCCAAACATGTACATCTATCTCTTACGTGGCAAATTGTAATCTTGATACGTGACAATACAAAATTACACTTGTACAGCTCCTTTCACGTTGGGAAGAAATCCCAAGGTGCTGGACAGTGATACGGAACAATTATAGGCGACCAGGATACAATGGACCCAAGAGCGTAAAGCTGACTTAATTTATCGAAAGGGTTAATTGGAACTCGTATACCAACTCGTATTAATGGAAATCCCATCGGATTTCGCAAGTTTTAGGAGAAAGATGAACTGAAATAGAAGTACTAATTACAAAACCTCAATTTACTTGCATTGAGAATTAACATTCAACTTTTCTTCGTTCAACAACTAATAAGTAAAGTATGTCAGCAGCAGCTTATGACCATCAAATAGCTGACAGTAAATGACAAGTTTCTTGCAGTTTAAACTGTTAAGCATAATTCATTTAATCACATCATTCATTTTCTCCTTCATTCCCGTTTAAATGTTATTGTGAAATGTTTCCTCCTTTGTTAATTTTTTTTCTCTATTTACTTGTTTCAGTATTACTATGACAACACTCACCTCATGGCTGTGTGTGGGACTCTGATTGTGCAAATATCTGTTGAGTTGCCTACTGATACAATCACAAATACAGAAACCCATCACCAGGCTTAAGAGTATCCAAACCAGTTTTGTGCATCCCACCTATCCATGGAAATTCGAGAGATTTTATTGGAATGCAATATGCACTCACTCCCTGGCGAATACACCCCATTTACCAAATTCCGGTGCAGATTGGCAAGAGCCAAGGCTTGGGGACCCCAGAGTGTGTGTCGGGATACTGCTGGAGTTTAACCAGCTAAAACCACATAGGTTGTCATTGAAAGCACTATCTGGCAAGCGTTCCCGCTGCTCGTCCAGCTAGGACCACCCTGCCCCTTAGGGCTTTGGTTTGCAGGGCATGTCAAGTCCTGCCAATGTGCCAGGCTGGCTGCGCTGTTAACAGCAATGCCCTGGAGGACTGCAGACCTGCCAGGCTCAGGAACCGGACTACCGAGGCAACTACCTAGGGTTGGCTTAATTCTGACATTCCGTTGCAAACATTTTAATTTAGAGCCAGTTGAGCTCCAAAGAGACCCATCTTATACACCCCTCCCCCAACCAAAGAGGATAGTCACTAGTTGGTCATTTGACATTCGACAAGTGCAGGTTTGAGCCCTCACTAGGTGGGTGGCAGGTATCAGGAACTCCCTGCAAGCAACCTTGTAGGCAACACAGCATGAAATACCTGGTAACATTGACACTATATTTCGGTCCACAGCTCGGAGACACATCCATTCCCATTGAGCAATGGATCCACCAGTTGGAGGTGTTTGAGTAGCAGCTGATTCCAAGCTCTCACTGTACGCACACATGTTCACAAACTTGGATGCCAGGTAACAGCTTCCAGCAGCTGTTGCCCCAACCCTCAGTTTCCTCAGCTGTCTGATAGACATCTGCTGGGTTGGCATGCAGAGGCAATGTGCGGGGTTGGGGAGGTGAGGTCAGAGACCAGAATTGTGTTGTGCGTTCGGGGCAGCAAGCGTGACGGCCGTTCCACAGGACATGGTGCTCAAGCGGATCCACAAAATCTTCACCCGATAACACCCCCCAGATAGAACTCCCTTGATGCACCTGAAATGCCCCCTCCCCCAGACATACCTCCTGGCTGCTAGACCTCCCAGCAGACCCTCCTGACTGCTATACCCTCCCAGCAGGAACCCAGACCCCTCCCCCCTCTCTCAGTACCAGCTGCATGTATATAGTGCATCTTCATGTAATGTCTTTACAGGGATGAGGGGTTGAATACCAAGCAAGGGACGGGGTGGTGGCCACAGGTGCCTCTGAAAAAGATAGGATTTGAGGCAGACTTAAAGACAACAACAACAAGATTCCATTTATAGAGCGCCTTTCACGTCGGGAGCTGTACAGTTGGGTCAGGACAGAGAGATGGGTGAGACGAGTGCGAGAGAGGGCATTCCAGAGTGTAGCAGAACTGAAGACTCGGCCACCAATGGTGGCATGTAGAGGGTGGGGGACTCAAATAGTGTACGTGAAAAGACAAAAAAGTATCCATTCCCAGGAAGTAATAATTAAAACAAATGATTATTTCAAGTAAATATTTAAAAAAACAAGCTCATTTATTTGATTGTTGTACATTATTCAACAGGAATTGTAACTTTCTGAAATGAATTAGAATTGTATCTACATATGACAACATTATTTTAAACCCCTCTGATCTTGCAGTTCCCACATGAGGATTGTTTAACAACCAATAATACTTGTTGCTCTTTGGGTAAACATCAATGTGTCCATAATGTATCCTATATTGAAATGATTTGAAGTACATGAACCAGGTTGCCAAAAATGCTACATGTTTAATCCCTTTGCTTGAGTACGTGGCTATTTGATCAAGTTAAATCAGTCTTAAGTACTTTATGTTGTACATTATCTTCACTGTCTGACAACACATATTCAATAGCTATTGAACATATAATTATGGTGCCCCCACTTCAGTAAATTTACATTTGCTTTTTAAATAGTCTATTACACAACAGCATATGAATCGTTAATGTAACTTTTACAAATAAAAATGAATTCAAACTCCTTCCAGAGTCGACAAAGTGGAGAAGAATATGGCAGACATTCTAATGCTCTTTAAGTGTGCTCCCCAGCCTGGAGATTAAAACATAATAACTATACAATATTATCAATAATAGTACAATTGTTTCTCTTCCACCAGATTCTTAAATAGTCGCCAAAACACATTGTAGGTATTTGGATAGATATTTAGAACTATCAGATATGATTTTTGCCACACTATTTTAATTCTCTGCATGAGTATGTGACCATGAGACAATTAAACAGTCTGGCAAACATGTTAATTG